ACACACACACACACACACACACACACACACACACACACACACACACACACACACACACACGTTTACACACATAAGCATTGAGCTTCACTCTGCATGTTTTGTTCCTGTGCAAACACAGATCAGACCATGCTCACCGGGCCGTGTCTCTGGCACTCATCAGGCTGTTTGTACTGCAATTTCCTCCCAAGTCTTATCCATGTTTTGTCCAATGTCATTCCAACAGGATTAGGGGATGCTTTCATCAAGCAAGGAACATCAGGGAAAATGCAAAGAAGACATGCTGCTTTGCTCCTCCCACCAAACAGTGTTACCGTCCGTCACACGAACGCTGCAGTCTGAGCATATTGTTGAAGAGAATTCTTGTTTTTGTTGCTGCTCTCCAGTCTATTCATCTAAATGCAAATATGGAAAGCATCTGCTAATTGAATGAATCACTGAAAAATGCTGCATAAATGTTAGTTTCTGCTAAGCAAAATGGAAACGTTCATAATAAACATGTTGTGTATCCAGAATTTTAGTGTATGTTTGCTCGGATTACTAGAAGTCTAAAATATCTGAGAGATTTTATGTTTAAGCTTTTGCTATTTAGTGAAAGAATTAGAATCTTTTATTTTTTATTAACTATTTAAGCAGCTAAATTCGGAAATACCAAGGGGTGTTCTGAAACATTCAGATTTTTTTTTATTTTGCAAGAATCTACATGCTCTAGTTACATAATGAGCACTTGCTTATTTCAAAATCTGTTTATTTTTGTTCTCCAACTATGTTCTGAAAAATACAGTATTAATCAATTAAATCACACTTCAGTGGCTCTGTGTAATTTTCTTCCTAAACTTGACTCATGATGTCAATCTACCCGACTGCAGTTTCTCAGAATAAGTCATCAGAGTAGATTAAGGCTCTGTCTAGACACAATCTGTGGTTAGTGTTGTGTTTTCTCTCCATATTGGTTGAGGCTTTGGTGAGGTTAAGATTATCCAAAGTCACAGGAGGCTTCCAGGCTTCGGCCACTAGTGGCTCTAATCTGCGGAGGGAGAGTTGAGTTGATTTAGCCTTTGAAGAGCTGCCCATCGTCTCCAATACTGATGAGCTGTTAGTCGTCAGCGCTGCCCAGCCCTGCTGATGTGGTTTAGACCTGCCGCCTCCCTTCTATCCAAGAGCCCCGTTCATCCCAAGACAAACAGGCGCAGTCATTACAATTAAGCGGTGCTATTAAAGGGACAGGCTACTGGCAGATTAAGTGAGGAGAAAATGAAGTGGCTCTTTGTGTTTTTGCAGGCGGTCGACTCATTAAAACTTGAAAGTTGCGTTTGTTGTTTAAGAGTCTTAATTTTCTTATTACCTTACATGTGCAGATTTGTGTTCAAAGATGCTCTCCTGGAAATTAAAAAAAATATTAAAAAACAGCTTTTTGGCTATAAGATTTTGGCTGTTTTTGCACATTAAAATTGTCTCGCTAATAAGATCTCTATGACTACAGACCAGAGGAGCCACTCAGGACTGAAGTTCTTAAGGGGTTTTGAGACTTGAAGGATTAAGGGGGAGGCGCTTTCAAATGACGGATGGTACTAAGTGTGAGAGGCAGCGAGGCAGGGCAGGGCAGGAGTCTGTGTGGCGGACCAGCAGCAGCTTTACTCTTCAATCAGTGCAATGAAAATTGCCACTCGTGTCAAAGTAGATGTATTTACTGAGAGGAGGACAAGAAAGAATAAGAGCCCGGGAGAGAGCTCTTGAGAGGGAGAATTATGCAACCTGTTTGGTCCAGATTCCCATTAAGCAAGACTGCTTCATTTGACCTATCAGAGGTGAAGATATTACCTGTGTAAAGTGCGTGCAAAGAAACACCATGTTTAGAAAGATGATTTAATATAAAACTTAAATCTTTATTTGTCAGCACAAAAAGCAAAATGACATTATTATTACAAGCCAAGCTTTCTCCAAAAATAATAAACAGCATCAGCTGCAGGGATTTCCCTGGATTTCCTGGTGAAGACATCTGGAAAGTTTGAGTTTTTCAGATGAAAACAAGCCATAAAAGTGCAAATTTCTGCACTTTTATGTTGACCCTCGAACTTCAAAATGAAYGTAACTATTAAACACCCTGACGTAACCTCAAGAAAGGTCTCAAAAGAAAAGGAAAATAATGCATATTGTAGGGGTAACCCTGGTGAAATATTCATTTCTATTTTTTTGTCTTTGATTTTATTTTTACACTTATAAGAAGAAAATCATTTTAAAGTGTTTTTATTTTCTTTAAGTGAATAGGACAATAAGTCCTATGTATATGTTATCTCATTTAATC